CCACGTCCTTCTTCTCCTCCATCAGTTCCGCCACAAAATCCACGAAGATTGCGACGACGACTACCACTTCCCTCACTTCCACCACCGTTGAAAACACTCCGGTCGCCCCGTCATACCGTCCCTACCACCAATGATAATGTGGACTCGATCCAAACCTGTCCCCATCTCGATTGCACCTTCACATCACGCATCAGCTTCATCGTTCGCTTGCGAATTCATCGCACTGAGATTGAAGCAGCAGTGCCAGTGGCCTCGACATACGCTCGTCACATCCGTCCCCGCTATCCGCACTGTCCACGCACATTTACTAACCGCATAGGGCTATTCTGTCACATGCTTATTCACGACGGCGAAATTAACGGCAACGATGACACACCAATTCAACCCTGACATGTGTAACAATCTCATCTCCAGAACTACTAACCTCTTCTCCATTAGCACGGTCACTACTAGTAGCATCAACACTGCAACCGACTCAGCTGTTTCCAACCTATGCTGCCCGTATTGTCATCGCACACTCACTTCACACATCGGCCTAGTCAGTCACTTGCGAATCTATCGCACAAAGACTGGCAAACCAGTGTCAGGAACACCAACACACACCCGTCACCAGCGCCTCAACTGCCTGCACTGCTCGCGCATATTCAGTCGCCGCATGGGCCTGCTCGGTGATATGTACCCCCGTGTCAACTTGCGGTAAACCACCGCGCATCCCCACCAACATATACGCCACGCGCTAACCTGGTGTCGTGTGGGGAGGGGGAGCAGGCCGTGTAACACACGCAAGCGGGGTGTTTTTAGCTCTGTCAGCCCCTGCGACCACTCCTGTATTAGACGGCTGAACCGCTCAGACAGTGGACTGTTGCCTGTGATAGGTGGAGAAGACGGTGGTGATGCACCAACCGCCGCCCAACTCAGCCACAGCCCCCAACGCGCCGCCGCAAATCAGCGTGAACGGAAATCAACTGCAAGTGGTAGAGAACTTCCCGTATCTGGGCAGTACCCTCTCCCACAACACCAAGATTGATGACGAAGTCGCCAGCAGGATCTCGAAAGCCAGTCAAGCCTTCGGTCGTCTCCGAAACACAGTTTGGAACCGCCACGGTCTCCAACTGAGCACGAAGCTGAAGATGTACAAGGCCGTCATCCTGCCGACGTTACTATACGGAGCAGAGACATGGACGGTGTACACGAGACAGGCACGCCGACTGAACCACTTCCACCTCAGTTGTCTCCGTCGCATCCTGAGGCTGAACTGGCAGGATCGAATCCCCGACACGGAAGTACTGGAACGAACGGGAATCCTCAGCATCTACGCCATACTGAGACAAATGCAGCCGCGCTGGAGCGGCCACCTGGTGCGCATGGACGACGAGCGACTACCCAAACGACTCTTCTACGGAGACGTCGCGACGGGTTCTCGTCGTCAAGGAGGCCAAATTCGCCGTTACAAGGATACTCTGAAGTCCTCCCTGAAGCGCCTGCAAATCAACCCGACCAACTGGGAAGAGCTCGCTCGCGATCGTCCGACATGGAGGAGAACAGTGAAGACGGGCGCTGCTATCTATGAAGCCAACCGAATCGCCGCCGCCAAAGCGAAACGCGAAGCCCGCAAATCACAACTTCGCCCAGTCCGCAACGCCGCCGCACAACCTCTTCCAACGTGTCCTCGATGTCAACGGACATTCCGGGCACGAATCGGACTTGTTGGACATCTCCGAACCAACTGCACCTCTCGAACTGCTCCAGCCATCGTCCCCCCGCCCGCCTCTTCCTCCTCTCTTCCGCCAACTAACTCTGACACTCCTTCTGCACCACCAATTCCATCCTCCTCGTCCTCGTCGTCCTCCTCCCTCTCTACTGCCCCAGCGGCGGCCGTTCAGACTGCTGTCTCACACATCACCAACACCAACACACCGACCAACATCACCTCTCCCACCTCTCCCGATTCCAGTGATGAGGATCAGGACTACACCTGCCCTCACTGTGACCGCACCTTCACCTCTCGCATCGGCCTGGTCGGTCACTTGCGAATCCATCGCACAGAGACTGGTGAACCAGTGCCTGGAGCACCAACCTACACCCACCGCACTCGCCTCCACTGCCCACACTGCCCTCGCACCTTCACTCATCGCATGGGTCTATTCGGCCACATGCGCATCCACGAGAGCGGAATTGACCGCAGCCTTGACACACCCACCCCGCCGAGCCCCACTCCCAATCAATCACCTTGCGCACCCACTAACCACTCCACAGCCGACATCGACGCCACCGACCTTACCACCCCCCACTCCTCCCCTTCCTCCTCCTCTTCCTCCTTCACTGCCACAACGACGGCCGCTTCGGCGTCTGTCGCCCACGACCTCACCGCAGCCGAACCTGACACAACAACAGGCACAACCCCTGCAACCTCCATCATCCGACGTGAGGGCCAGGGCTACATCTGCCCTCACTGNAGGAGGAGAGAGTGTAGGTAGATGCAGCGCAAGTCTACCCGCACTATAAACCCCTGCGCAAGTCACCGTCCCTGCTCCCACCGCTGCTGCAGCTGTGGGGCACACGGTGGACATCGTCGAAACCGACGGTCGAACTGTCGTGATAGGTGGAGAGAGGCCGACTCTGTAAACTTCGTCTCCACTGCACTCAGCGCATATTGGCCATCATGACTCGACGAGCTTTCAAACTGTCGCGGTGCGATAGAAGTCATGGCTTGGAAGGCTGCCAACTAGATCCTACTTTCAGAACGGAGAACTAGGCTGTAATGGCTGTTTCTGAATATGACCTTTATGCTATTTCCGTTTAACTGGGATGTGAGCCCCCCCCCCCTCTTTCCTTTATGTGAAGTCTTGGTCGAGGCGTGCATGGCACACGTAGGCGGGCTATTTAGCTTTGCCGGTCAATGCGTTCGATCCGACCTCCGGTCTTCTTGACTGTCTTGACACCTGACCCAAGAGAGTGAGGGAGAGAATGCGGTGGATGCAGCGCAAGCCTCCGTCTTGAAGTTATTTTAACAGGGAAAATTTTTTGAAGCCAGCTTTAATGAAAGAATCCTCTTTGGCCAAATATATAGATGTGGTTTGCTGTGTTTTTTTTTAAACAGACCTGTCTATGCGGACTATGTAACAACTTGAAGTTCACTAATCAACAGGCAGGAAACATATTTAAATTGAGAATACTTACCTGAGCGAAGGAGTGTGCACGTAGCTTTTTAAGCAGATTTAGCCGGCATTCTATTCTTGCGAATTACAACCTATGTTTACCCACCGAAACGTTGTACGACCGTGGCCTATCTGTGAAGAGAGAAATTTCGGTCGGTACCTCGGCATCACAACCCGAAGAGTGAATCACGCCCGCGTACGTGGTGCTTGTTGGGTGTGTCAGGCAGACTGAAAGCGACATGTCTAAGCGGTGACGCTGAAGGTCCTGAGAGGGGACATTTTCAGACCTACCGGACTGCGCGAATGCGGGACTGTTGCCTTCATTTCAAACTTCTTCCCAAAGAATATAGGAAATAATCTTATAAGATGCCCAAGTATCGGGCACTCTGTCACACTACAACTTTACCCTGTACCCTTTCTTTTGGTCATTTACCGGCAAATGAAACTGAGATACGAAGGATGAAAACTCCGCGTACATTATAAGGGCATTTCAGCACAATCTGTAGGTATGGTAACTTCGAAAATTATGACTAGGCTATACAGGATAACGCTGCTAGGCATAATGATCGCTTTACATACCCCATCTCAAACCTGTATATGTGTTGTTACTGTGGATTCACGACGTTTATTGCGAGTGTTTGATGTCAACTTGTAGCGGCCGAACAATAGAGAAACGTCGGATCACGAATGATGTTGGAAGGACTAGACGACAGTCTCAGCCCAGACGGGACAACTAACTGGAAAATCCTCTATGGGAGTCTTTGCATCTTAAAAATGGCGAGATCGAGTGATACAGGCATAGGGGACATCGAATGAGGCAGGACAGGTAATTAAAAGGTGTACATTTAATGTCTACCATAAAAAGTTGAAAAGGATTGCAAGGTGGGTTGCGGTAAAACAAACGT